ACTACTAATACTAGTATACACACACACACACACACACACATATATATATATATATATATATGTGTGTGTGTGTATAAATAAAAAGAAAGAACAGTAAGATATAAAATCCGGTGTTCTTATAGATATTTTTATTTTTACAAAATAGTGCTCAATGTAAATTTACAGAGCATTAATATTATAAATTAATTGATTTAAACCATATTTTAAATCAATTAATTTATAATATATATGGAAAAAGTATATCGGGTTTATCATAACTGACTGGAACGTCCGAAATTCTTTTCCGAAATTTCGTTCTGGAGAAGCGTTTTGGTAAAATTTTGTTTTTTCTTTGCGGCATATAAACCTCAATGCCAACGAAATTTTTATTGCTGGTAATATTTTTTTCAAAAATGTATTGGTGATAATATTTTTTCAAAGATGTATTGTTGGTATTATTTTTTTCAAAAATGTATTGCTGATAATATTTTTTCACAAATGTATTGCTGGTAATATTTCTTTCGAAAATGTATTGCTGGTAATATTTCTTTCGAAAATGTATTGCTGGTAATATTTTTTTCGAAAATGTATTGCTGGTAATATTTTTTATGCGATTCGCCAGGGCTGCGTACAATTTTGAATTCAGAGTTTTCCCTCTTTTAGACTGGTTGCTACAAATCTCAGTCTGTTCTACTAATTACTAATAACCTTTAGAATAAAAACGTTTCGGAAGATGAATCCAGACCGAGACGTTATCGATCTTTCATGATGAAGTCCTAGAATCATTAGTACCAATCAATTCACGACTCAGTGGCCAGGAATTAGCAAAAATGTTAAATACATCTCAATCTACCACATACCGGCATAGCTGACCTTTTGTTTTCCAAACCCTCTTCATTTCTATGGTTTCTGTTATCATCTCTAGTCTGGATCCTCACAAGACATGTGGATCTGATGTTATCTCTGTAATTGCGCTTAAGAATTTTGTTCCTGAACAAGCTTCTGTTCTCTCAAACCTATAATAAATGCCTCGCTGTTTCTTGCATTCCTGCTAGTTGGAAATTCTCATCTATTGATCCAGTTTTTAAGAACTGAGATGAACCATCGGACCCTCCAGATTATTAGCCTTCTGCTTCATTTTGGTAGTCCTGACGATGAACAACACCTGACAGCAAGGCATTTGATCGAAAGATTGGAGGTTTTAACGAGCATAGAATCACCCCTTAATTGCTGTTGTTCTTAGGTTCAACATAACCTGGGGTGGTAGCACCTGTCAGGTTCCCAACCATCCCTCAGGAAACAAAACAAAATAAGTGAGCAATGGTGAGAGAAAAAAGATTATTCAGGCATTTACTAATGGTACCAACATTCATCTTCTGATTTCCATCCTCAAGGTCCATTCAAGATCCATCAAGAGAATGGTGAATAAGTTGAAAAAAGAGGGAGCAGGAGAGAGGAAAACTAGATCAGGAGGTCACAACAGGAATAGGGATCATCATTTCAATTTAGTGCTAAAGAGATCAATTATAATAGATCCAACTCGATCCATAAGATGTTTGGCATGTGAGAGAAGAGTTTCCGCTATGACAGTTCATAGAGCAGTGAAAAAAGACTTGAAAATGATATTGTACATGTGAGGCATCTAGTTGCTCCAGGATAGAAAGTTAGAAGATTAGAGTGGGCGAAGATCATCTTGAAAAAGTTGGAAAATGATCCTGGAATATATATATATATATATATATATATATATATATATATATATATATATGAACTTAATTTAAATCCTTCATGAGCTTCCAATTCTTAGGTATTATTAATTAATAGATGAACATGTCATTTTCGTTTATGATCAACTTCATCACGACTTTTGAGCTAAACTTGGAGAGTAATTATTGCTCAAAGTAGAGTCCAATAGTGTTATAAAAACTTCGAAGAATTTCAGTAAGATATCTTTAATCATTTCTAAGATACAACAGTTCAAATCTTAATGTAACAGACAATTTCGGTGTGACACGAATTTGACAATTGTGCTGTTACACCAGGTATATGTATACGGTGATAATATTTCGCGACATATTTAAGAGGATTGCGCGATACACGACAGTTAAGAAACACTGATCTAAATGTTCAGAGCATGTCATTTCATTCCTCCTGTGTTTTAGCTCTAACAGAAGAGGGAACATTCAATTCACCCCCAAACAGAACAAGATAGTAACGTGCCCTACTCACCGAAGAAACTGAAATTTCTCCTGTGATGTTTATAATTTGTAGCCTCAGTGAGGCTCCTTGATTTGAAAAGTCTATTGGGACAGAAGCTGACCCTAGACCTCACGTTGGAGTCATACATATATATTTGTTTTTTGTTAAATAAAAAAATGTAAAAGGCTTCGCGATTTTATTTACTGATCAACTTTCCGAGAAATTCAAATAATGCTTCGGGTTATTTTTTTTATTCTTTATTTCCTTTTTTATCTGATCCACATGTTGAAATATGATCATGTCTTGTAAATATATTAAAATAATACGCTAGCATTTATAGATGGCTTGATACGCTTATCCTGTGAAATTCTTTAGATAAATCCGAAAAACCGCCTTTATAATTATTTACACATAGGCACTTAAAGAGATGGATGAATAGCGTAACAATTTACAGCAACGAAACCTGACAAATTTCTTACGATCATTAGTTACATTATTCGGACTATTGTCCTCATCTTTGTCGCCATATTTATCACAACGTTTCGGCCGTTGTACGCTCCGGCCTTCTTCAGATGGTTGGTATGTCGAACTGAACCCTTTATTTCGCTCACTGGGTAGACTGTTCTAGTTCCACGTGCCACGTTTGATGGATGTCAGCTATCAGTTATCTCCTGTTAATTTTCCTTCTGAAAGTTCTCCACTGCCTAAACCGGGTATAGAACTCACACTCTTTAGGTCTTGTCGCTGGATCTAACCAAAAACCGTTATCCACTGTGCCATGTGTCCTTGAGGAAATAAAGGGTTCAGTTCGACATTCCAACCACCTGAAGAAGGCCGGGACGTAAACGGCCGAAACGTTGTGATAAATATGGCGACGAATAATGTAAATAATGTACATAATATCTCATCTCAGAAATATAGATAGACTCTTACGATCAGTTTGCACTATAGCCTTCGGGAAGGCATGAATCAATTTCTAATCCTCTTTTCCATCTAAGGTTTAAAGAGTAGGTAAGGCTAGGCTTTCTAGCCTCCAGGGTGGCAATCATTTGATGAAAAAAAAAAACTCTGTTTTTGGAACATCAAAGAAAGCAACATGAAACCATTTCGCTGTATTCCCCTAAATGTCTTAGCAATTAGGCTCGTCACATACTAGCACCATATGCACTAGGACGGACACACACACACACACACACATATATATATATATATATATATATATATATATATATATACATATATATGCGTTTGTATATATAAACAGAGCCTAGGAAAATACTTAGTTCATCTAATAGTTCCAGAAAGTATCTGTTTTCCCCCTACCATGCTGTATCTTTACCAGTGTCAGATTGTACTAGAATGGATTATTGCTGCCATATCTGGTCTCGAGCGAAATCAGGAGTTGAACCATGAGCTGGAGCAGGAACGAGAGTAGGAGCTGGGTCAGGAACTGGAGCCGGAACTGGAGCAGCAGTTCGAGCAGGAACTGGAGCAGGAACTGAAGCGGGATTTGAAGCAGGATCTGGAGAAGGATCTGGAGCATGATCTGGAGCATGATCTGGAGCAGGAACTGAAGCATGATCTGGGACTGGAACTGGGGCTGATCGATCCGCACTTTTAACCTTGACAGAGTTCAAAATCGTCTACGTGGCCTTGTCTGTGATGAATTATTTTCCAGTTTATAACCATTTTCCTCAAAAACAAAATGTCACAACCCTCCCGCTACTCACTCGCAATTTCCATGGCAAATATTATGACGATCTTCATTCATTAGCTCCACCAGTTCAGACCTTCACGGTCAGGACTCACCATGACACGTAAACTGGGTCGAATTATTCTCCTTCGTATTTCATTGTTGAGAAGAAAGTTTTGATCAAACTGATTCTTCATAAGAACCGCATCTTTGACTCCCGAAATGATTCTTCCCAATCTTAAACTCTTCGAGTCAGCTGTTATCTACTTTTAACAACCTCCTGTAGTAAACCTTTAAATTTAGTAGTTCTTGTGCCTTGTATTGGATGAACAACAATAAAAATAAGATTATTCGTTGTTTCTTCTCTTGACGTCACTATATTCTGTGAGTGTTAAATTCTCCAGGCCATCCTTCCTCAGACATTTCACATGTTTCCTTCAAAGGGGACAGAATTAAAGCAATGATAGTAAGAGTTTTTCTACGGCCGAGAGAGGAACCAATTTAATTCGGAGACAGAAAGATAATCACAAATATCAGGAGGATTTAAAATCGATTAACACACTAAGAATTATCCTTAATGTAAAAGTAATTAGTTTTAACGGAACGAACCAAGCACATGTTCTATTCCAGACGTTTTAGCAAGCATAAAATATATTTTCAGTGAACTCTTCTGATATACGAGTTAGGGCTGAAAAAGTCATAGGCTGACTACCAAAGAATGATTCTTGAATTCTCAGATATACGTTTACATGGAAAGAAACCAAGCAGTTATTAATAAGAAGGGTTGAAATTACTGCATGCAAGAGTTCACAGTTCTAGCATCGCTTCTTCATAATCAGCCTATAAACTTTTCAGACCACCTCCTATCTGGTTTATATGTTAAATAAATTTGTCAAAGTTATCAACAAGATTTTATTTTTGACTATTCCCGGAATAAAAAAAAGTGGGATTTTTTGTCAGTGTTTGCTCTTATAATACTTACAATAACTAGTGTTCTCATGCGGTCTATCATCTAAGTACTGACAGAGATCAAAGTTGTTTAACTTCAAAGATCGAACTAAAATCGTTTCATTAGTCGGGAGTTGACAGTAAGTCAAAAGCGTTTATATATTATCACAAAATACCAGGCATACGGCCAAATCACGTTGACACACCAGTTCCCGTACGATCACCGAAGTTATGCGAAGTTGAGCCCGGTCAGTTTCTAGATTGGTTACCTCTTGGGAATACCAGATACTGTAAGCTTCGATGTGCGGGTGGTGTAATGGCTAATGACTCGGGATATTTAATTCGGGCTCCGATCGGCGTTGATGCAACTTAAGTAGCATTTATTTAGTACTATGGCCTTGGTAATGCATCACTCCATCTACCCCCAGATATGGGTTAAATATTCAACTTGCTTTCTTTGCTGGCAACCAGTCCGCGTAAGGAAAAACTCTGAATTCAAAACCAGCGTTAAAAGGGATGGGCTCCGTCAGGTTATATTCTTCTAGAGACATCGATTACTGTTACAACAGCAGCGTATGTGTTCTTGATACGACCCTTTCAGGTTTTCTGAAATTTTTAATTAACCGGCCCGGAGACACTTAGATATATTCAATAGGATTTACACGAGGAGACGGATTGGGATATTATAGTTGAGTCTACCATTCAAGAAGTGTTTCTGCAGATTAGATATATACATTTCTGAACTGATATTCCCCGTACATTTTAAGATCTTTGATAATCCCGTGTTCCAAAATACCCCAGATATAATCGAAAATTTGCTAAGATTGATAATCTCTGCACCCATTCTTTTTCTATGTGCCATGTCCCTTCAGGACGTTGGCGATCATGGCTCCCCACAATTTCCTGTCTTTCTAACTCTTAAGAAATTTTGCCATCTTTCCTAAACCTCGTTTCGACATTAATTGATTCAAGTTCGCTAGGTATGTTATAACATGTTTTTCTGTACTCTTCAAACTGTCCTATGAGTAGCACATTCGCCTAGCCCTCTTTCCTCAGTATGTACCCTAGAAATTTTCAACTGTCCCTTTCTGATGTTAAGTTTAAGTGTTCTTTTTGTTTCCACTTTCTCTGAAACTTCGTTGTTGCTCACATGTTCGGTCCATTGTGTTCTCAGCATCCTTCTGTAGGCCCACATTTTTGTTGGTTTAGTTCTCTTCTTCATCTGTGAGGAGATCGTCCATCATTCACTGCTATATACGAAGAATGATATGACGTAGCAGGTCAGTACTCTTTTCTTTGTTTCTAACGAAATTTTCCTGTTTCATAATACATTGCTTAACTTTTGGAAGGCATCTTTTGCTATGCCAATATGACGTCGGGTATCAGTGTCACACTTTCCGTTCTTTTTTAAAACACTTCCCAGAGGCGATCATTATTTGAGCGTTAAGCAAACTAGAACTTATGAAAAGAAATCGATACATTTAATCTCTAAATGTCTGTCCACAATCTTGATTTTTTTAATGTTAAATGTCAAAAACTATCAAAAGATTGCTCAAAGCCTATGTAATATCAGTCCGGTTAAATTCTTGACAATTTCCCCATACATGAAGGGGAGGCTTAAGATAAAAAAAAGATGTCGTTCTACAGGAGGATGTTGGGAATAACCTGTACGGAAACTGTAAGCAATGAGTAAGTTTTAAAGAAAATTGAAACAAAACCAAAGAACACTTGGAAAGAGAAACAGTTGGAAATTTTGGCACATATAATTAGGAAAGAGGGCTTGGAGAATTTGACGCTCACAGGACATACTGAAACGAAGAGAAGAGAGGGAAAGAACCGATACACTACATATCGAGATTTTACAAATGGATATTACAACAAGGCCTGGAAAGGATAATAAAAAGACTGATATTTCTCAGAGGAAAGGAAATTGTGGAGAGCTCTGATCATTCACGTCCAGAAGGGACACGGTAAATAGAAGAAGTAGCAGAAATGCCGACTGGTCGAGGACGTGGTTTTATTCTGCCACAATGATTACGATCATATAACTGGGCTGATTTCGATTCACTTCGACATTTTTCACTTTCCCGGTCTTATCGCACAAAGACGTATTCTGACTGCCTCAGACTCGGTGATTATTCAAGTCGTTGTTAGTAGATCTTATAATCACGTGGTTTACACTTCGAAGCAGAATTCCTAAGATGATGCGATTCTGAAGTCTACCTTTTTTCTATTTTCAGACAAACCAATAGTACACTTGCTTACAAAATTCGGCAATTCTTGTATTCCTGCAGTCTTAAGAAATGCCTAGTAAGAGAACATTTCTTGGTTTTCTTATGTTTATTTATTGTTAAAGTTGAAAAAAAATACTAAGTTTGCTGTGTTATCTAACTGTAGATAAGAATGAACACTTCTGTCGTCTTCGACGTATAAAACCATCTTAATAGCCGGACTTTGTAAGCTTTTATATGACTATCCTCTCAGGATGTACGAAAAGATTGCTCATCACAATTTCATGTCCATTATAGATCATAGTAAATTCTACCTTTTCGTTATTTCTCTTAATTCCTGTTCTGCTAACCATGTTCACAAGCTCGTTAGGTAGATAATGTGGTAGTTTTCTCTGCTACTTCAAACATTTGCTTGTGAGTATCAAATTTTCGAAGCTTTCTTTCCTCTTTGTGTACACTAGAGATTTCAACTGTCTCTTTATGTGAAGTATAAATATCCTATTTTGTTTCCATTTTCTCTAAAGCTTCATCGTTACTCACAGGTTCAGCCGATCGTATTCTCATCATTGACCTGAAGAACCACATTTCTGGTGCATCAAGTTTTTTTTTCTGATTGACGGACCATCAGCACATTTTTTTTTTTATTATAGTGCTGAAGGCTTGTGGATAACAGAACACACTTTTCAAAAGAACAGTATACAAAGGCCTGGTGCACATAGTTCGCCACATGTTTTCCAAACGACACTCCGCGTGATTTATTTGTGTAATTCAGAGCTGTCCTTCTTCCAGAGTGGTTGCCAACTAAGGCTAATGATTCCAGTGTGAATTAATATTAACTAGCTAGGGAGAAGTGATCCATTCATAACATTTCCAAGAGTATTTTTGTGTAAGTGAATGTAAGGAACTCAAGCGGAATTCGAACCCAGTTCTCCGACTTCTCATACAGACTACCGCTATCATACCAACTGCACACACACACACACACACACACACACACACACACACACACACACACACACACACACACACATTATGAAATGGACAAAGTCCAACTATTATTTTAAAACATTTTTATGTTTATACATTCTTTTTTTATATATACAAATATTTAAGTAAATGCTCTGTTTTATAATAAACGGTATTAACAACATTTACCGGCCTGAATGTCCGATAAATTGTCATAGAAAATATGCGTTCTCCGACAGGATTCGAAACTGTATCCTATACGGAACCGTCATATAGCCTGACGTGCTTATACTTTTTAGGCTATATGACGGTTCCGTATACAGGTTCGACTTCCTGTCGCAGGATGGCTATTTTTGTATGACAATTTTCGACATTCCTCGTAAATGTTGTTAATACTGTTTATTATAAACAAAGCATTTATTAAATATTTGTATTTATAAAATAATGTAAAACATAAAAATATCTTAATATATATATATATATATATATTAAGACATTTTTACATATATATATATATATATATATATATATATATATATATATATATATATATATATATATATATATATATATATATATATATACTGAGTATAACAACAAAATTGTCGAAATCGAGTAAAAAGCAAAACTGTCTATTTGTTAAATTAAGTTTGAACCGTTTTATCTTAGAAATGATTGAAGATATCTTACTGGAGTTCACCGAGGTTTTTATAACACTATTGGACTCTACTTTGAACAATAAGAATGTCTAATTACTCTCCAAGCTTAACAAAAGAATCGTAATGAAATCGATCATAAATGAAAATGACATGTTCTTCTATTAAGGCTAAGGAACGGAATCTCATTAAGGATTGAAATAAATTTCAAAGATATATATATATTTATTATTCCAGGATCATTTTCCAACTTTTTCAAGATGATCTTCACCCTCTCTAACCTTCTAACATTAAACATTTTGTTGTTTGACAATTATGCTGTTACACGTACTGGACAATTTTGCAATTACATCCGGTATCTATCTATCTATCTATCTATCTATCTATCTATCTATGTGTGTTGGTGGTGTGTGTGTGTGCGTGCATGCGTGCGAGAAAGTGAGTAAATATTTGTCAGATCAGACGTGTGGATAAAACTTACATAAAAAGTTGAAAGTGCTTCATATAAAAGTCTCTCCTAAAAGGCAACCGGGACAACAGGATACAGGTGTCAGTTTTGGCATTCGCACGAAATACACACAAACGCGTGCACGGGCACCCCCCCCACAGCACCCCCCACACATACACACACACACATACATATATATATATATATATATATATATATATATAAAAAAAACTGTCAGAAACATCAATTCAGGATTTTTTTAGCTCTTTCTTCATTTTATGTTAAATAAAAACTGTAAAAGGCTTCTCGATTTTATTTACTGATCAACTTTCCGAGAAATTCAAATAATGCTTCGGGTTATTTTTTTTATTCTTTATTTCCTTTTTTATCTGATCCACATATTGAAATATGATCATGTCTTGTAAATATATTAAAATAATACGCTAGCATTTATAGATGGCTTGATACGCTTATCCTGTGAAATTCTTTAGATAAATCCGAAAAATCGCCTTTATAATCATTTACACATAGGCACTTAAAGACGAATAGCGTACAGCAACGAAACCTGACAAATCTCTTACGATCAGTTTGCACTATTAGCCTTGTGGAAGGCATGACTAAATTTCTACTCCTCTTTTCCATCTAAGGTTGAAAGAGTAGGTAAGGCTATGCTTTCTAGCCTCCAGGGTGGCAATCATTGGATGAAAAGGAAACGGCAGAGAAAGCAACGTGAAATCATTCCTCTGTCTTCCCCAAAATGTCATAGCAATTATGCTCGTTATATATATATATATATATATATATATAGAGAGAGAGAGAGAGAGAGAGAGAGACTACTAGCACCATATGCACTAGGACGAGTGCTAGGACTAGTACACAGACACATATACATATATATATGCGTATATATATATATATATATATATATATATATATATATATATATATATATATATACGCATAATCTATCACTGGTCAGCATACATAAATAGTA